GGCCAGCAGTGGCGAACTCACAGGCCCCGCCGGTACCCACCGCGCCAGAGTGGATCCAGGCACAGGGCAGAGGCCAGCACTATGCCAGTTTCTCCTCCATCCCAGCTCCAACCCCACCCTAAGTGTCTAAGGAAAATAGTGTGAGTGGGCACAGTCATCCGTGGCGAGACTGTCCCATCCCGCCCCTGGCATGCATGTGCCCACTCCCAGGTCCCTATGTGTAAATGTTATGTGGTTATGAATAAATGTCCGCTTCTATTACTAACACGGACGTCTTTGAGTGACGGGACACTTCTTCCTGGATGCCAAACTGGGAAGGAATGCTGAGTTTCTCTCCGGAGAAGCCAGCTTGGCTCGTTAGGTCTTGCCCATAAGCCAATTAGGGAGATCTAATGGCCGGGACAGCGGCACGACAGCCAGATGTCCCACCCGAGGCTCCAGTAAAATTGTTTGGTTGTAACATCAGAACTGACGTTTTACTGTTCTATATAAGAAATCTGAGTTTGATGTGAATTAAAATTCGGACGCGAGTTTTTATCTCATTTTACTTTGAAGCTTGTTATAGGAATAACCACAATCAGGTGTACTTATGATCTGTTCAATTGGTGTAAATAAATGATTGCATAGTCTTTATGAATCAACTTGAACTCGTCTGAACGTTCACTTATTGTGTCACTTTTCACTTCGCACAGCCAAGATATTAAAAGTAATGAGAAAAAACCTTGGTAAAACTTTCCTCATACTTTATGTATGAGAGATGTAGGAAAGGCTTAATTCACCTTAAGCCTACCCACTACAACATTCAGACATGCTCACAGCACCCCTCCAATGAAACATGTTCCCACAGCAAAGCATCGTGGTCATTATCCATGCAAAGGTCTTCACCACACCTTTGAAGTGTTTTCATCTAGTCTTTGAACAGGGAAAAACACAATGTTCAGCCTAAAATAACTGCATCAAAGTGTTTGTGCATCCATGAGTCAAACCTTTGTTGTTGTAGACATCCAGGTAGTTAGGAGCAGAGAAGATGGTGATGAGGGAGGGGAAGCCTGTCGTCTGACTTTTTCTGTACATGCGGTATCTGAACGGAGGGAGACAAACAAGACGCCCACATTTCAGCTATTCAAATGAGGCATCACTCTGCAGACGGAAACTTAGGGCTTTTAAACCAGACAGGGACAAGGTGAGACAGACATACAGTCAAAAACAGTCTAATAAAAATAAAGGTAAATCCCTGGCGTTGGGAGGAAATGAGTCACTGAGGAAGGTACTGCATCCCCTCACCAGGGTTGGAGTGACACTGCTCTGGTCCTGAGCTAATGACTGAGATTTAATAGAAACTTGTTTGGTACATAACAAGGCTCGACCATAGTGAGATTCATGAAATACAATATTAATGTGAAGATGATCAAAAATAGCTTTATAATAAGGAAAATAATTCAGATTTAACTGAAGCTCATTCAGAAGTCAATCATTGAGGTTATCTCAATGCTGGTTCTTTTTCCACAGGTGGCTGGCTGCTGCTGTTTAGCTCTGAATTAAATAAATGTAAATTCAAGTCTGTATCTCACTGACACACTTCAATATTGGTGACCAGTTGGAGACTTAAATTTTTAAGAAAATGTACACATTTTACCATGGAAACACACTGAACTGATAATTACACCACATTCAAGAGCCTAACTGCAAATAAACAGACATTTTCCCTACACCGCTGCAAATGAATCAAACTTTTTTTTGTTGCAGTTTAGTCACAAAGTGTTTCAAATGTGTCTCAACTTGACCACAGTTTATTCTCATTATTTTTGTGTCTGATCAGTAGGTTTGGTTTCACAGTTGGCCAAGCTCTCCAAGTGTTGGCCCACATCTCTAGCACTTTTTAAAATAACTCAGAGCAGTTCAAGATGGCTTACAGACGCTAGATGACTGATTTTTTTAGGACGTCAAGAGAACCCTCACAAATAACAACAACAAATCCTGTTCCCATGTTTAAGAAAAAGACTTTAACTCTGTAAAGGAAAGGTATTCTCTTTGGTTTCACAGCTTTGTCACAAGGACACAACTACACTACTGCAGTTAGTTTCTGATTGTCAGTTTTATACAGAAAATTTGTAAAAACCTGTCTTTAATATTCTTTAATCAAACTGCATCTAAACATCATAAAAAGTTGTAACTCTGGTCTTTTTTTTGCTTTAAGTTGTTTATTATGATTATCCATAAGAAGTTTGTTATCAGCAGCTTTAAATGAATAGTTGAGTGAAAAGTAAAAATAAAAAAAGCCCAGAAGCACGTCCCACTAAAAGAACAGTTTTACGATCAACAACTGCATCAGAGCAGTCTGGATGCCAAATAAAATAAAAATAAACAAGCGGTCTGGATGACAAATACAACTCAACAGCTTCAGCAACTCTCTGTAAAACTGCTGTATTACACTTACAGAGCTTTGACTGAAATAAATATCTGAAATGGAAACTCTTTTATGTATTCTGTACTTACTGGTTTTGCTGGAGGTAAGATTATTTTCTTGATCTTTAAATCACAGTATAAATCTTATCCCACTGATGACAGGCGAGCTGCATGGCCACATTTTACCTGGCCAGTTTTTGAAATTTACCATTTACTTTCATTTTCTTTCTGACCTGACTGATGAGCTAACGGCTAAGTGGACTGCTAACTTTGTAAACAACTTCAACACACAAAATTACGCAGCAGGTCCTACAGGCACCGAGAAATCTGTTTGTGACCTTTTTGTTAAATGACACAATGAATGCTGAAATAACCAGAAACTGACAAAAAGTAATAAAAAGAGAAGATCAACTAATAAAAATTGCTCTAGAATTTTGGTTCAACATAAAAAACAAACTGGTTTTAACAAACAGGATGGTACAATAACTAGCGTAACATGTCTTTGATCTTATAACCAGGCAGTTTGCCTATAGTTAAAAGTTTCACTGTGTTGTTTGATGTATACCACACTAAACATGGAGCACAGAGGACAGAGATCTCTCAGGTGCTTAGAAAGAAAATCATTAAGCACTGTGTTACTTTGCTGCATCTGACCTAGGGTGTCTCGCATCTGTGCAATGTACAATAAAATCTCAAGACTATCAAGGCATTTGGTCTGTGTCAGAAAGCTTGCTCTCAGTCGTATGAGTCTGTCAACAGGATATACTGTAGATCCAAAATACACAGATAAAAACGTCCAAAAAACTTTGCACTATTCCAGTGGTGGATGCTGGTCTTTCAAGGAGAGGAAGCTCAGTTTCGGCCTATATCATAAAATGTGTGGGTTATAAATTCTACCCTCCGTTCCTTTTCAAGAAAATGATCTGTGACCCTGTAATTACACAGTAACTACTCAGTAACTACTAAGTAACTACTGAGTAGTTATTGAGAAAACCAAAGAGGAACTACTCTGTAACTACACAGTAACTACTAAGTAAATACACAGTAACTACTCAGTAACTACACAGTAACTACTAATAACAACCAGTAACTACTCAGTGGTTACTGAGGACAGCAAAGAGGAAGTACTCTGTAACTACACAGTAACTACTAAGTAACTACACAGTAACTACTGAGTAGTTACTGAGGACAGCAAAGAGGAACAATTCAGTAACTAGCATACTGGTTATTTATGAGCTAAAAGCAGCAGCCAATTAATACTTCTGGAAAAGTTTTTGCAAGAATATGAGAGTTTTGTTGTAAAACTAATGATAATGTAAAGGGTTACAAAATAGTGTTCTCATGAACCCTGGTGGAATTTCTGACACCGGAGCTGTTCTAAGATGACAGCAAAGCTCAGCCTTCTCAGACAAGATGTTAGCTTATTAGTGCTGTCAAAATTAAACTATATTTATCCAAACGAGCCTGTTACAAGAACTATCTGCAACAAGTAAGACGGTCATTGTTCACATTCTTTCCACAGAACCCAAATTAGAAAATTCTAAACTATCCCTTCAACCTAAATTGTGTTTGAGCAGCTGTTGCCCTTCAATAATAACAACGTCAGTGTCAGAGTGGAAGAGCAGCGGGGGGAAATTTCGGTAGCCCATATGACTTTGATGTGCCAATTCCTCAACAAATGAGGAAAAAGGGGAAGAAAACATGAAATGTCAAGGTGAGCAATTACACTAAATGCTGCTGTTGTGCTGAGACAAGGACTGAGCTGTGACAACTCACCCAGCATCCTGTGCCTCGTGCGCTCTGATGATTGACAACAGGTTGTTGGTCTGTAAGAACTCGCACACTGCTGGATAACTGGGCACAGAGAGAGGAAAGTCCATAAAATATGAGATGAAACACTGGGGGAGGAACATCCTGAAAGACACTCATGAGGACAGTTTGACATGACTTGTGTGAATCCTGAAACAGATGGGAGGAGAGTAGCGCTCAATGAGGAGGACTCTGGGTTTTCAGACCAGGAGGGGGCGACGGTGAGGTGTCCCTCAGAAGTCTTGGGGGTGAGCGCTCATTGATGCTGGGTCTCCTAAATGTAGGAAATCACTGCGTCTGCCACACAGAACATGTCCTGACTTCCAGACAGAACATGTCCTCACTTCCACATACAGTGGGGAGAACAAATATTTGATACACTGTTGATTTTTCAGGTTTTCCCACTTGCAAAGCTTGTAGATGACTGTAATTTTTATCATAGGTACTCTTCAACTGTGAGTGATGGAATCTAAAACAAAAATCCAGAAAAATACTATGTATAATTTTTAAATAATTAATTTCCATTTTATTGTGTGAAATAAGTATTTGATACACCAGAAAAATGAAACTTAATATTTGGTACAGAAACCTTTGTTTGCAATTACAGAGATCAAACGTTTCCTGTAGTTCTTGACCAGGTTTGCACACACTGCAGCAGGGATTTTGGCCCACTCCTCCATACAGATCTCCTCCAGAGCCTTCAGGTTTCGGGGCTGTCGCTGGGCCACACGGACTTTAAGCTCCCTCCAAAGATTTTCTATTGGATTCAGGTCTGGAGACTGGCTAGGCCACTCCAGGACCTTAAGATGTTTCCTGCGGAGCCACTCTTTAGTTGCCCTGGCTGTGTGTTTTGGGTCGTTATCATGCTGGAAGACCCAGCCATTGAGAAAACAGGTGCAGTTAATAC